CAGTCGCGCCGCGAAAGCAATGGCGCCGGCAGCGTATGGTTGGACGTAGAATCTGGACGGAATTTACAGGAAACTGTCGGCAATATAATAGGTGAAAGAGAGTAGGCTTACAGAAACATTAAGAATTTGGTAGTAAATAGATTTTGTATTTAGTTAGCATTATATTTTATTGAAACGCTTTAAGTGCCTGTGGTCATGTCCATCTGTGTACGGCAGATACGTACACTCACGTACACCTGTTGTACACGGTGGAAAGGTACACGCGTGCGCGCACGTACACGCTGTCACGCTCACCTGCACATGTGGAAGAGGTCGGCAGCACGAGCATGGAAAAATCCAATGGGCCACCCCTCCGGTAATCCACTGCCCTCGTGGCATCCGGACTCTATGACTGTGCACGATTCTTTGCGCTTGTACGTGCGGTACCTCGCGAATTCCTACATGCAATAATCCCTATATCCATCGCCCCCCCCTCCCCGCGTGCGCTCGCGGTCGACGCTGACCGCTAGATCGAGTTTGCCAACTCGTAGTCTTCCGTGTAAACGCGCTGCACAGTTCATACAGCGGTTGATAGAGCGTTGGGAAGTTTGGTCAGATTCGCCAATTCGCCAACACAAAGTTGGCAGTGTAAACCCAGCTTTATATACTATACTGACCCCTGTAGATTGGTCACTGTCGGGTACAATCATGCAACTACCGAACCTCATGTAGTCGGATTTCTATAGCAGGTGCCGTCTATGGATGCTAAAGCTGGGTTTACACAGCCAACTTTGTGTTGGCGAATTGCCGAATTGTATACCAACTTCGCAACTTCGCAACAGACAATCGGCAGTGTAAACGCAAAAGTTGCGCGTCCAACCGATCGATAGCAACTACATGTAGTTGGAAGATTAGAACATGTTCTAATTTCGCCAACTCGGATCTGGCGTGTTGACGTGCCAAGTGTCCAATCAGAGAACAGCAATCAGGGGTGTGTCCCTTCACGCAGACGGAGACTATTTGCGCGCACGTTTCTGCGGCACGTGTCTGAGTGTGGGAAATGGTATTTGAGGTACCTTTGAGTACATGTACAGCCTTCATTCTGAATATCACATGACTATGTACAGGGGGGCATTGTTTAGGTCGGGTTCATTATTGAATATGTAAGAGTGACCCCCGCTGAGATGAGGGCGACAGCAAAACTCTTTTTTGGAATTGTGAAAAAAAGCTGCAAAAAGGGTGTAACCTCTGCTTTGCCACTCAATTACTGTGGCCGAGTAGGCGCGCCACGTAGCGGCATAATGCCGCAGGTATTAAGCGCGTACGTCATTACACATTTATATTAATTTGTTGCAATTGTTCATTTTACTAGAGCGAGAGAGAACAAGCGAGAAAGAGTTACTAGAGCGCGAGAAAACGAAGCACCGGGCAATGTCAGGGGAGTGGGCAACAGTGCTGACCCAATCGTGTGTGACGTGATATTATTACAATGATATCACAATATATGATATACAATGATATCACAATATATGATATACAATGATATCACAATATATGATATACAATTAAATCACAATATATGATATACAATGAT